AGCTGGCGCAGACTGATGCCGAATCGGGCAAGTTTCTAATCGGGCAGGTTTCTTGATGAGTGAAAGCAAAACCAGGGCAAATAGGAAAAGCAGCCGTGGCGTCAGTCATCAAGGATCGCAAAGAAGCGAAATTCGCACTCCGAGCCATTTAGCTTAAAGCTGAAAGCTTTTCGATTCTAGACTTAAACATGTTCAACTCTTCTAAAGCTCTCTGCAACTTTGGAAGGGTGGTGTCGGGTTCCAGAGCTGCGTGGAGGTTTCGCCTGCGCGGATTTGTGTGGAGCCCTGATGCATCAACCATCCCTCACTCAGTTCTGGCTTCAGCGGCTAAAATCGGGATCCCAATAAGGGTTTAGGTTTTAGGGTTCAAGCGGGATCCCAGCAATAAGGCCTTTACAAGAACTGGCCTACCCTGCTGATTTTTGAAGGGATCCCGGTGTGAAGATATTATTCTTGGAACTATGACGTACTCTTCGCGGGAGCCCAAAATAGATAATTCAAACCAACCGCACCTGCAACAAGGGAACACAAGTGGTCAAGGTAAAACTGAGGCTTGCTCGATGGTGAGTATCCGGCTCTGAGGTCCCGTGCTGCCACTAAGCGTGGGCAGTTCTCTGAACTAGGGTCGCTTTTAGGGCCCCAATACAGTACGGCACTCTTATAAAACGGACCCCCGAAAAGGGATCCTAATTTAGAGAACTACCCACCTCCCTGAAATGTGCGAAAACATGCTCAACACTCCGCCCAACCTATCCGAAGTGTCCGTGAACCCGAGGTTCAAAATCCTCTAGAGCCTAAACCCTTAACACCCAAACCCTAAGCTTGAAGCTAAACCCCAAAGCCTGAACCTTTGAAAGGACTCCTGTATAGAAACCATCGTAAGGAACCCTAAACAGGTAGGTTTTGGACGGGTTAAAGTAAACCCCAAGACCCAGTACCCGAAGTCCACCTCCAAACGAGGCTCCAAGCCCCGAATTCAGCCGCAGCCTACACGCCCAAAGAACTTAAAAGCCCACATGTAGCAGAAATCACGTGCCGTTGCAGGGTTCCTTATTATGGCCTTGAAACGGTACGTGTTTTGGGCCATAAAGAAACCCAGAACCGCAGTAGAACCCTACCCTGCATCCCAAACCCAGTAGAACCCAACCCAAAACTAAAACCCCTAGTAGAACTAAGCAGCAATAAGCTACAGTAGGGGCATTTCGTATCGGCCTCAGGTTTTCGCTTTGCAATTAGTATATTCCCTTGAAGCCCCCATATAGTGAATAACTATATAGGGACTATATGTGTATGTCATCGCTAAGAGTCCGTTCCCTCATAGAAACCCGTTCACCACCGCCATAACGCTCACCGTAAACAAAGCATTTCTTCAGCCCCTGCCGTCGAGCGGGGCGCGGAAAGACGAAACTGAATCTTGGGAGCATCAGCATTTTGAGGCTTTAGGGCTTCGTCTCTAGGGTTCCGGGGTTTGGAGGCTTTTGGGAAGTACCCTAAAGTAGTTCCTTTTTTGGGTTGATATTTAGAATCCTATTAGGGAACCCCCCAAAAGGAACTACTATGGGGCCTAAACCCTAAACCCTAAACCCGAAACCCTAAACCCGAAACCCTAAACCCTAAACCCTAAACCCTATGTTGAACTAGCTGAAAATGCCTCTTGAGGCCTTCCGGTTGGAGCCTCGAAGCTCTTGGATTAAGGCTTTGAGATTCAGGATTTCGGAAGTTTAGGGTTTAAGGTTTAGGGTTTAGGGTTTTAGGGTTTAGGGTTTAGGGTTTAAGGTTTAGGGTTTAGGGTTTAGGGTTTAGGGTTTAGGGTTTAGGGTTTAGGGTGGCCATTCTAGTAAGGCGTTCTCGGGTAGTCGAGGGTTCTTCAGGCGTTTTCCACTTTGGGGTCAAGGCTTGATCTCGGATTTCTGGAGATTCAGCTCGGCTATAGGAACTTTAAATTAGGCACAGGTTGTAAAAGGCTACCAATACCCGGTTTAGGGTTTAGGGTTTTAGGGTTTAGGGTTTAGGGTTTAGGGTTTAGGGTTTGGGGTTTGGGGTTTAGGGTCCGCTAAACGCTACAAGTTTAGGGCTTAGGGCCTTTGGCTTGGCGAGCCGCCAGTCCTTCCCGCTGGGCGAATCGCGGAAGCACGAATTCATACGGCTTGTGCAGCTCGAAGAAGTTACTGAACCTGGGACAGGCACGGAGACACTCCAAAATGTCCTACCCGAAACCCTAAAACCGAAAAACTATACTCCAAACCCTAAGCCCTAATTCCCTAAACCCTTAAGCCCTAAGCCTAAAAAAAAAACCCTATACTCCAAACCCTAAACCCTAAGCCCTAAACCCTAAAAGCCTAAACCCTGTACTCCAAACAAATAACCAACAACCCTAAGCCCTAATTCCCTAAACCCTGCGCCCTAAACCTGAAAACCTAAACCCTAAGAAACCCTAAGCCCTAATTCCCTAAACTCTAGGCCCCAATTCCCTAGACCCTAAACCCTATATTCCAAACCC